AGGGTTTCAGGATTGTTGATTCTCTGTTTGGCTTAGTTTTTCGGATCTTTGTTGTGGAGGGATGGCGTGGTGTTTCTGCCTAGAGCGCCATCTTGCCGGAAGTTCCCTGGTGTGATTATTCTATGAGTTGCAAATCTTACCTCTGTAATGTTAATGAAGGAGCCCTGGTGGTGTAGTAGTTAAGAGCTCAGCTGCTAACCAAAATGTCAGCAGTTCAAACCCAACACCCACTCCTTGGAACCCCTATGGGGCAGTTCTACTTTCTCCTATAAGGAGGCTATGAGTCAGAATTGACTCCACAGCACATAACGACAACAATATGATGTTAATGAGGCAGGATTAGAGGCAGTTACATTAATGAGACAGGACTCAATCTACAGGATCAGGTTGTATCTTGAGTCAATCTCTTTTGAGATATAGAAGAGAGAACTGAGCAGAGAGGAGACATACCTCCTACTACCAAGAATAAGGAACCAGGAGGGGAGCACATCCTTAGGACCTGGGGTCCCTGTGCAGAGAACCTCCTAGGCCAGGGCCAAGACTGATTACTTCACCCAGAGCTGACACAGAGAAAGCCTTCCCTGGTAGCTGGCACCGTGAATTTGAACTTCTAGCCTCCTAGACTGTGAGACAATAAATTTCTCTTTGTTAAAGCCATCCACTTGTGGTATTTCTGCTATAGCAGCACTAGATAACTAAGACATCGGTTGCTACTGAGTCAATTCTGACTCATGGCAACCCGATAGGACAGGAAAACCATAGAGTTTTCAAGGCTGTAATCTTTACAGGAGCAGGCTGCCACATCTTTATCCTGCAGAGCAGCTGGTGGGTTTGAACCTCCAACCTTTCGGTTAGCAGCAGAGTGTTTACCCGCTGTGCTACCAAATAAATCAATACCACAATGAAATAACCCATACCTGCTTAGATGGCTATTAAAAACAGAAATCAAACCAAAAGGAAAATAAAAAGTGCTGCTGAGAACATGGAGAAATTGAAACCCTCATACATTCCTGGTGGGAATGTAAAATGGTGAAGCCACTGTGAAAACAGTTTGGTCATTCCTCAGAAAGTCAAATATAGAATTACCAAATGACTCAGCAATTCCACTTCTAGGTATATACCACCCCCCCCAAAAAAAAAATTAAAACAAGGACTCAAAGAAATACTTATATGCCAATGTTCATTGTAGCATTATTCACAGTATTCAAAAGATCAAAACAACCCAAGTTTTCATCAACAAATGAATGGATAAACAAAATGCAGTATATATATATATATATATACTCTGTAATATTATACAGCCATAAAAATGAACGACGTTATTACACTAAGTGAAATAAGCCAGATACAGAAAGATAAATATTGCATGATTCCTCTTGCATGAAATAACTAGTATAAGTAAATGCATAGAGACAGAAAGTAGATTAGAGTTCACTAGGGTATCGGGGAGGTAACAATGGGGAGTTATTACTTAAATGGAATTCTATCTCTGGTGAAGAAAAAGTTTGGAAATAGATAGTGACGATGGTTGCACAACATTATTAATGCCACTGAATTAGCTGTATACTTAACAACGGTTGAAATTGCAAATTTTGTAATTATATATTTTTGCTCAATAAAAATTAATAATAAAGTCCCTTCATCTGAAGGAAAGGCATACTTATGTTAATTTGCTAGGTTCTGTTCCTAAAACTAGAGTTTGGAAGGAGGCTGAGATTAAATCAAAGCTAACTACTTGCTAACTCCAGTAGACAAATGCCTCATGGAAAGAGAATTGTACTGCAGAACTTACTTTCCGTGTTTATTTGTTCTTCTTAAAAAAGAAGAAAACAAATGATTCCATAGATTTCAAAAGAGATCTGTAGCATTGATAACATTATGTGTGAAAGCTGTGCTATTTGTGGAGGATCTATAATTATAACGCTAGAAACTAACATGCATAAACACACTACATTAATCAGCTCTACAGAAGTAATTATACCAAGATTTTTCTAATTATTTTCTATTGTCTCCATAAATGGACTATAATCACAATCTACTCCTTGGATTAATTTCTTTCTCTGGTGTATGCTTTAATAGGTTATAACTAGCAACAAATGATAACCTTTAGAAATGAGAAAGTGTCTAAACTAGGGTAAATTCTTAAACATTCAAAGTACTGTATGTTACAAATCCACATTTGGTAAACACTAACTCTACATTTTAAATTTTCAAAAAACAACTCAAATATTTATATACATTAATATATGCATTCTTTCCTGGGCATAAATTTTGCTCAAAATTGAAAGAGCTTGAATTTAATCTAGTGCAGTGGAGTAGAGCTATACATTCCCCCTCCCAAAAAAAAAGACTGTCTACTACTTTATCAAAATGTATATTAGTACAAATAAAGACTCTAGAGGTAAAACTTGGACAATACTAAAGACAGTGGGAAAAAGTAGCATTATTTCAGCATTGTCCACACTAGTGTCAGCAAATGTTTTCTATAAAGGTCGGAAAATAATTATTTTAGGCTTTAAAACATATATTCAGCAGTTGTGGCCGAAAGCAGCCATGGACAGCAAATACATTTATCGTGCTGTTTGTGAATCATATAAAACAGGGAGTGGCCTGGATTTTCCCCTGGAACCATAGTTAAGTTATCTAACTTCTGATCTACTCAACACCAAACAATTACCTTATTAAATTATGGAATCAACTAAATATTTACCGAAAATAATCTTATGATTTTATGTGTTTTGTTGGAGTTTCATTTTGTGTAATTATTTTTAAAAATTTCTTATGCAAATAGATTGCAAAATTTCTAATATCCTTAGAGAAAACTTAATTAGTGGACAATAATTACTAAATTTTCAAAAAGAATGTGTTGGTGCATTTAAAAATGAAAACTGAACTAATTAGATTGCACAAATATTTCTTTTCAATAATATGTATTTATGCATGGGATCTTTTTTTATCAGTTCCAATGAGATTTTTAAGGAGGTCTTTCCTATGAGAACTGAAGGGGCATCTCTTTGGGTAAATAATGCTAGTTGCCCTAATGAAGAAAACCCCTCTGATTTCTGTGGCTTACCACAATAAAAACGTTTTTGGTTTTCACTTACTTAATATAATCAAATGATCCTGGTCCATTGATGGCTTTCCAAATAGTAATTTAGGGACCTGTATCGTTCTATGTTCTGGCTCTTCTTTCTGCTACTTTCCCAGGCATCTCTCTTTCAACAAGAATGAAGAACAAAGGCAGTGGAAGATTGCATTGGACGTTTTATGGACCAGATTGAAAAATAATAGCTTCCATCCACCTTGTATTGGTCAAAACTAAAACTTTGTTATTCTTCAAGTTTTTTTCTTTTTTGCTTTACTGGGATTACTTAGACCAGTTCCTGTGTATCTTCACCCATTGCCATTGAGTCAATTCCAACTCACAGCAGCTACACTACGGGATAGAGTAAAAAAAAAAAAAAAAAATCCATTGCAGTTGAGTTGATTCCAGTTCATAGGCTAGAGTAGAGGACATCTTTCTCCAGCGGAGATACTGATGGGTTCAACTGCCTACCTTTTAGCAGCAGAGGCTTAATAACTGAGCCACCAAGACTCCTCTTATGTATCTTTAAAGATTTATTATTTCATATATTAAGAGCTCCTTCAAATCAATAAGAGACTTACAACCCAATAGAAAAATAGGCAACAGATATGAATAATTTATAATTAAATAAATATATATTTCTAGCTTACCTTCCAAAACATGATAAATTGTTTTCTGTTGTATAGATTTTACAGGTATATGTGAGATAATTATTTTAAATAACAAACACTTGAAGGTTATTACTTCCTGGCAGGCAATGTAACATTTAAATGACATATAATTTAACCTACCTTCAAATCAATGAAGTAGGTTTAATTCTCATCTCCCTTTTACAGACAACCATAACTTAGGTTAAATAGTTTACAACCAATTTGAAGTGAGACAGACAATCTTCTATTTTTTTGATGAATAATTATGAGACATCCTCTAAGAATATCTTAATTAAGTATAACATTTAAAATATTAAAATCAGTTATAATTATTTGAACAGTCTTAAATTTCATGGCTTAGAAATGATACCTAAAGTTCAGAAAAGTGTCCAATGCTTTACCTTTTATACACTAGTTTGCATAATAAGCTACTATACATTTTTACAAGACAAAGCATGAATTTATTTAGTTTTTGGAAAACATGACAATGCCTTAACTGAAGCTTAAAAAGTATTATCAAAGTTAAGAACTGAATAAAAAGTACCTATTAGTGGCTTACTATATGGTAAACACAATACAGTTACATTACAAAATTAGATGAATGATTGATTTAGAAAGAAAACTTTGAGAATTGAGTGAGGAAAAAAAACTTTTTCAATGTAATATGATAGGCTGATAATATATCCTTTACTTACTTTTCATTATATCATTTTGTTTTATTGGTAGTTTTTCTAATAGAAAAACAAGAAACACGACTGTTTTAGCGGATATATAAACAAAGCTCATTTCACTTCAGTTTCTGCCTAAGGGATAATTGGTTGGTCACTTCAGAAGCTGACTTTAAGAAATGAAGGGCTAATAATGTTGCTGGAAGACTGAAATGAGTTCAGACAAGAGACAGAAATGCTTTTTAAAGTTAATTATGTTTGTTTTTCCTTCTCCCTTGGTGTCCATTACCTTTAAATGGAGCCACACATTGGCAGAAGTAATTACCAGGTTGGTCAATGCAGGTGGCTCCATTGTTGCAGAGCTGTGAAGCACACTCATCTATACCTATTTCACATCTTGTGCCTTTGAAAAATAACAAAAAAAAAAAAAATTAAGTTTTAATAAGGAAGCAGGTGTCAGGTTTTAATTCTCAAATTTGCCCAAATATTTTAATAAACTTGAGACAAGATCTGAGACTAAATTTGTCAGATAAGAATGCCAAATATATTAGTGTCAGAGCCCATTTATTTCACCTTACTACAAACAGTAACAACTTTTCTTGGAATTACTAAATGCAGACTAATCTCCTTTGAGTTTGTAAACATACAAAGTCTGCTTAGATGTGAACTAATTTATCTTTTGCTTTGGAGTCTAGAGATGGAATAGATGTTTCAGATTACAGGGATGCAAATGTTAGGCTAAGGAAAATAAAAAGGAAACACTGGTGAATCAATAACATCCTGTTGTATGTCCCTGAGGGCTAAATATACATTATAAGGCATAGTTGTCAAACTCTACTTACCAATCAAGTTGGGGGGACAGATGCATTTGAATCTACCCATGAGCTCTGTATGTGTAGAATTACGGAGAGAGGGTGACGAATCACAGTTCTTTCTACTAATTTCACAAATTAGGCCTATATGGAAAGAAAGGAAAACAGAAATCTTCATTAACTATATGATCTTAACATTGTCTTTTAACTAGTTCTTCAGTTCAGACTTTCTATTAATGTTCCACCTAGAATTTGTGTTCCTAATGCTGAGCTTTCATATTATATTACTTGGACTGTTTGTAAATTTGCCAAGAGCTGACAAGCAAGCTTTAATTGACAGTGAATTGATTCTTACAACTTATGACAACTAGTTTTATTACCAATTTATAACAATAATAGAAAAATAACATTGACATATGACACACTATATTCACAGATTTTATGAATGGAAAACTTCCTTGCATTTTTAAGAAGAAAATTTCTCTAAAATGTTGATATAAATCTAGACTGGAGAAAAAAATGTGATTTTCATTTAAATAGAATAAGCATATTTAACTAAAAAGAAAATCCATTTGTAATGTTAATATCAATGACAAATTAAAATATTAAATGCAAATTGACATTAAAAATCAAGCTGAGGAAAAATTAAAATTAAATTTTTAAATATTAAAAAGTAATTAAGATTAATTTACTAAATTAAAACTAAAATATTAATATTGAATATTAACTATATAATTAAATTAAAGTAATAATGTGAGTGAACAATTACTTTTTTAAACCTTACAAATTTTATTTGATGACTTTCCTTATGGATCAAGTCTGTGAGAAAAACAGCACAAGTATAAACCCTGCTTCATTTAAAAAACCAAAATGTTCTGTATCTGTGATGATGTTCATATGTAATAAAACAATCCAAGCAGAAATTACATACTGAAATATTCTCCTGGAGGAAAATTAATATACATGTCTATGAGATGAATTGTATACTCCAAAATAAGGAGCTATTTCCAGCTCAAATTAATATTCAGTATCATAGTTTTGGTTAGCATGTGTGCCTACCTTGAAATACTTTCTGACACGGGGAGCTAAAGGTGCTGAGAAGATCAACACAAGTGCTACCATTTGGACAGCAATCATTTTGACACTCATCTACTTTAATCTCACAGTTAGAATTTAGAAACGAGCAAAGGATTCACTTCATTATAAATGTGTCACCTGTGCAACTGGCAACTAAGTCTAAGGCTATTCAGAATATATGACATTTACACTTTCCTTTAAAAAAATTAACACATCAGTTAATTCTATGAACTAGATCTTTACTCTTGTTGTTGTTTTGCTATGACTGTGACTGTGGCTTTAATCTTATTTGAAGGAACCCAGGAGACTTCAAAACTTCCATTATTTCTTAAAATTAAACACAGGCTGTATGAAGAAAAGAGGCAATATTTATGACTGTACAGCATTAAGCAAATTGACTTTAATTTTTTTCCCCTTCAAAAACTGCATGTTATACATATTTGGGTGCTGTCTAAAATATTCTTAAAAACAAACAAACAAGCAAAAAATCTCTCAGGTCTTTGTTTCATTTAATTACTGTAAACTAAATGAATTCTCATATTCATAAATGTATACATTTCTTAAGAAAAAAGATGATATATTTTAGCAAAATTGCTTAATAAGGAAATGTAGTAGAATTTGTCTTTTGTTTACTCGGGTTACTCATCATCTCAACTCCCCTCCTTTAAATCTGGATAATTATCTACTTAAGGATTGGTTAAAGAAAGTTAGAGAGCACATCTCAAGCTAAAAATGCAAATTACTCTTTTTTCCTGTCTCAGTTACACCGAAATTTGGATATGTAACTAAAGGTTGGTGAATCTGATGGACCTGCCATGGAATTTGAAAGGAAGCTGATGAGGCAAAGACGCAGAGATGGTGGAAAATTAGATTTTTATTCAGGTGGCAGTATCAACGCAATCACATCAATTTTTGAGGGTCTCAGTGACAGCACTGCCATAGTGTCATCTAGTTATCATTTGCATCCTTCCCCTACTGACATAACGGCTTTTTATCTGATGTGGCCTAGTCTGCTGCCTAGCCTCCCTTATTTATTCAAATTTTTGAAATCTTGTTCTAAAGAATTCCACAGGTCCTACAACACACATTCTTTTAATAATCTTTAAACTATATCCTATTCTGGTTAAATCAGCTTGAGTGTATTTCTAGTGCCCATAATGAATAACTCTATTACTGGTGTGTATTACAATATAATTTTTGTCTTTATTAAACGTTTATATTTCGATTTTACAGATAAGGATATCAGAGGAAAAAACTAAAAGAACTTTTAGATATTTTTGGTAAATATCATTAATGTTATACTTTTTTTTTTTTTCTTTTTCGTTTTACTTTCAGAAAGAGGGTTAGGTTCCCACCTTCTGAAGTTAGGAATATTAGTCAATAATTTTATTTTGATGTCTTTGTCTAGCTTTGCTTTCTGGGCAATATAGGCCTCATAGAATTAGTTGGGAAATGTTCCCTCTTCCTCTATTTTCTGAAAGAGTTTATCGTTGGTATTACTTCCTCCTTAAATATTTTATAGGATTTACCAAAGCAGTCATCTGAGCCTGTGCTTTTCTTTGTAAGCAAGTATTAGATTTTTTTTTTTTTTACTTGTTATACAGTTCTTCATTTTCATTTCTATTTCTTTTTAAGATGTTGCAATTTGTTTCTCTCTAGGATTTTTAAAATTCCCTCGAAAGTGTCTAATTTTTTGGCATAAATTTGTATCATTACCTTGTGATCATTAAAAATTTCTGTAGTGTTGTAGTGATGTCCCTTCTTTCATTCTTGTATTTGATAATGTGTCTTCTCTCAATTTCTTAGTCAATCTAACTAAAGTGTTACCAGTTGTGTTGATTTTTCAAGAGTTAACTATTGGTTTTGTTGGTTTCCCCTTATTGCTCTTTACTTTCTTTCTTCTTCTACTTACTTTGAATTTGATTTGTTTTTCTTCTTCAAGCCTCTTGAGGTGCAAGCTAAAATTATTGACTTTAGATCTTTCTTTCTGGTTTAAGCACTAAAAACTACAGTTTCTTTTCTAAGTACTTCTTTAGCTGTATTCCAAACATTTTGATATACTGTATTCATTTTTATTCAATTCAAGAAATTTTCTAACGTCTCCTGTGATTTCTTCTTTGAACATGGATTATTTAGAAATGTGTTGATTACTTTACTTTCCAAATATTGTTTGATTTCGCAAATGTCTTTATGTTGTAGATTTCTAATTAATTCTGTTTTGGTATTGTTTTATAGCCTAGCACATTGTTGATGTGAGGAATTTTCATGTGTACTTAAAAATTATACATATTCTGCTGTTTTTAGGTTGAGTTTTCGATAAATTCTAGTTGGACAAGCTGGGTGATGTTCACCTCTTCTATACATCTGCTGATATTTCCATCTAATTATTCTCTCAATTACTCTGATAAAAGTATTGATATTTCTAACTATAATTATTAAACTATATATTTCTCCTTTTAATACTGTTTTTTTTTTGCTTCTTGTAATTCTTTGGGCTCTGTTGTTAGGTGTATATATGGGTATAATTGCTGTATCTTTCTGATCAATTGACCCTTTTACCATAATAAAAATTTTCTCTATCTCTAATGATGTTTCTTGTCTTAAAGTCAGTTTTTCTAGTTTTAATAAAGTCTCCTCAGTTCTTTTATGTTTACTGTTTATAAGTTTTTTTTTTTTTTAATCTTTTTACTTTTAATGTATTTGTTACTTGGTTAACTTTTTTTTTAATTTAACTTTAACCTCATTTTTAATTTGTGATTCTAAGCATATAGTTAGTTTTGGCTTTTTTATCCAGCCTGACAAGTTATGCCTTATGATTGCAGTGGACATCAATGATAGTTTCAGCATACACAACCTTCAAAACTACATTTAAATAATTAAATTATCATGAAAATGATACAACAAATAGGGAATTCCAATAGAGAAATACAAACTATAAAAAATGAACCAAATGGAAATTACGTACTTGGAAATTCCAATAAATGACATAAAAATTTTCCTGGAGTTACATAGCAAGTGGCAGAAGAAAAAGTCAGTGAATTTAAAGATAAGTCAACAGAAATTGTATATGATAAATAGAACTCTTTGGAACACTAAATAATCCCATAAAATATCACTTTATTGACTAATCATTAACCTTTGATATATAAGATGAAGTTTGGTTTTAATCATACCTCTACATATCCACTTGTACTATCTGCATTGAATTCTTTTTCTTTTTCTCTATATCCCATCTATCCTCTTGTATTTTCTCAAGTTTTAACTGTCTGTCCTACTTTTCCTGCCTAGGTTCTCTGCATTCAGAACTTTACTTAAACCTGTACAAGCATGATCCCTGTATCTATATTTCTGGTTCTAACTTTCAACTCAATTCCTAGTGCTCGTTTGCAACTAAATCCTGGTGATATTGTTACCTCAAGGCAAAAACATATTGTAAATGATTCTAGAGAGAGAAAATTACCTTAAATAATGAAAGTGAGATTGATAACAGATGTAACATCAATAATATTGAATG